GGGGGTGCAAATATCATGGCCCCCATTATTGTTAGGTTCAGAAACACACCATTGAAGGTCATAGGAACGCCATGATATTTGTACCCCCAGGTTGAAAATGTTATGGACTCGTGTTGACTTTAATAAATGGTAGTGGTCCCGATCTTTGTTGGATCCCATAATATTTGTACCCCCCCCCCTCCCTAGGGCGCTGAGTCTGTCCACGATTCTTAAACTGCCGGCCGCGACGGTCTCATTCCTCCCCCATGGACGTCGTCCGCGCTGCCGTCCGTCTTTCCCGGGCGGCACAATTAACAGGAAGAGCAAAACCACAACCAGCGGGAAAGTTTGTGTGTGTTTGGTTGTGAGGAGGCCGGCAGGGCGGCGCCGGGGGTCCTCGCGACACGCTGCAGAGGGTCCCCCGGGACAAAAGTTAGTTTTTCTTTTGTCGGCGGCCGCCCCCGGCACGCTAAGGGATGGGGTCAGTCGTCGCGATACATCTGCAAAGAGAGGGGGAGGGGGGTGGGTCAGGGGGAGGAGATGACAGGACAAAAGTCCACCACCGCGGTACTTTTAGCGACGGCCGCAGTGCTTGTTTGGGTTACCGCCCCCCCCCCTTTTCCCCGGATTGGCTGGAAGAGCCGCACAAGCCATTTAACTCATATCTTCCGTAACATGAAACGTGTAGAAAGGGAAAGAAAGAAAAAAGATATTTTTGTGTGTGTTGCTTGTCTCAAATGACCGTAATTCTCCGCTCCGCCTGTCGCCAGAGCCCAACTTTGTGGGATCCTTCGACGTGGGCGAGTACGTGCTCTTCTTCTTCCGGGAGACGGCCGTCGAGTACATCAACTGCGGCAAGGCGGTGTTCTCGCGGGTGGCGCGGGTGTGCAAGCGCGACACCGGCGGCAAGAACATCCTGGTGCACAACTGGGCCACGTACCTCAAGGCCAGGCTCAACTGCTCGCTAACGGGCGAGTTTCCCTTCTACTTTAACGAAATCCGTAAGTATGGCAATTTCATGGCGATGTTTTAATTTATTTTTATTTTATTTTTACAAACGAATAATACAGTTCTCTAAGCAGAGTTTAATTTATTCAATAAACTTCACTTTTAATACTTCTTTTAAAAAGTACTCCTTAAACTCTTCTTCTCTTCCTCTTTCCTTCAGAGAGCGTGTACAGGCCGGACGACGATCCAGACCGCTTCTACGCCGTCTTCACGACCAGCTCCTACGGGCTGACGGGCTCGGCCATCTGCGCCTTCACGCTGCAGGACATCCAGGAGGCCTTCCGGGGCAAGTTCAAGGAGCAGGCCACCTCGACGTCGGCCTGGCTGCCCGTCCTGAGCAGCAAGGTGCCGGAGCCGCGGCCCGGCGAGTGCGTCAACAACACCGAGAGTCTCCCGGGTGAGCAGCAGTGGCGGAGAGGGACTGGCGGGCGCCTGGTGGGTAGGCCGGCCCGTTGCGCGTGCGTGTAATGCGGGCTGACCTACCCAGAGACGTGCAGGCGCCGACTACTAGAAGCGTTGCGCGCGCTTGCCGGTTATTGTTTAAAAATGAATAGAAAAAAGAGAGAAACCATTTGGTTTACAGCGTTGTGTGGTTGGCGTTTTTTGTTTCGCAGACTCGGTTCTCAACTTCATCCGCTCGCACCCGCTGATGGACTCGGCGGTGTCGCACGAGCACGGCCGGCCCGTCTTCTACACGCGGGAGACGACCTTCACCCGGCTGGCCGTGCACCTGGTGCGCCAGGGCGAGCGGCTCTACCGCGTGTTCTACGCCGGCACCGGTGAGTGTCTCCTCCTCTATTCACGTCACGACCCACAAGGGGTGACGCAGAGTAACAAAGTCACATGAATCCGATCATTGTTAAATTTTTATCTAATTTTTTTGTAGAATTCACCAAAATTTTCACTAATCACCAATTTTTGGGGATATTCGCGCTTCCTTCTTACTCTCGGGGCGCCGACTTACTTATAAATTTGTCTCTCTTCTCCTCTCCAGCGGGCGGTCAGGTGTACAAGATCTCGCAGTGGTCGGACGGCTCCGGGGCCTCGTCACTGCTGCTCGACGTGTGGGACGTGACGCCGGGCGACGCCATCCGGCTACTCGAGCTCTCGGAGCGCCACCAGTCACTGTACGCCGCGTCCGACGCGCGCGTCACGCAGATCGGCGTGGTGCAGTGCGCGCGCCGACACACGAGCTGCCTGCGCTGCGTGCGCGACCCCTACTGCGGCTGGAGCGCCGAGACGCACTCCTGCAAGGCGTCCGGGGCCGCCGACGGGTGAGTTCCGCCCACGTGCTCCGGTTGTACTCTGAGTGTACCACGGACGTACACCGAGTACCCCCCGGGTGCATTCCGGGTGTACTCCAGGTGCACTACGGGTGTATTCCAGGTGTACAACAGGTGCATGTATGTCCATTTGTACTCCGGGTTTAATCCGGGTGTACTCCAGGTGTAACGCGGGTGTAATCACAGTGTACTTCGGGTGTACTCCAAGTGTGGTCTATAAGTGTACTCCGAGTGTACTTCGCCTTCGTTTTACATCGTTGTCTGTCTGACACTCGCTGTCCTCCCCGCAGCCTGCTGCAGGACGTGGAGGGCGCGCTGCCGCGGGTGTGCGACGGTGCGGTGGCGCGCAAGCAGCTGGCCGTCACGTGGGGCCAGTCCGTCCACGTGAGCTGCTTCGCCACCCCGCCGCCGTCGGGATCCGCGCCGCCGCCGCCCCCGCACCGCGCCGCCCCCGCGGCCGCGAGGCCGCCGCCGCCACTGCAGTGGACGCACCTGGACCGGGCGGTCATCTTCCGGCCCGACAAGTACGTCGAGACGGCGGCCCACGGCCTCGTCATCCTGGCCGTGACGCAGCAGGACGCGGGCCGCTACGACTGCCTGCTCGACGGCCGCCTCCTCTGCTCCTACAACGTGACCGTGAACGCGGAGCGCTGCGGCGCGCCCGGCCGGCCGCAGGACTACCAGCGGGTGTACGCCGACTGGTGCCACCAGCTCAACAAGTACAAAGCCGCCATGCACGCCTGGGAGCAGCGCCAGTCGGTGAGTGCTCGCTCTCTGTCTCTCTCTCATTTCCTCTCCCTCTCTCTCTCTCTTCCCTCTTTGTCTCGCTCCCTTCTCTCTCTCCACCCCATCACTCAGCCGCGTGCCCTGTGTGTTGACAGCAATGCGGCGTGAAACAGAACGACAGCGTGCTCCGGAGCAACGAGATCAGCCCGGCCGCCCCCTTCGCGTGACGCGGCGAGTGCGAGGCGAAGCAAGAGGCCCCGAGTCCGTCCCGGGAGAGGCGACGCCGCCGCCCCGGCGCCGTCATCGCCACCGCCATCTTGAGGATCACGAGCGGCATCAGCGGGGGATGTGCACGCGTCAGGCGGAGAATGAGGCGTCCAATATGAATGTGCCCGTCCTGGTCAGAGTACCGCGCCAGCCCTTTTTGTCGGGTGTCCCCCCCCCCCTCTCCGAGACACCCGGTTATAGAGTACGTTTCTGAGGTCGCAACCACCAACACTGACAATAAATAATTTCTGCGACGAATTTCACACAACACGTCGAAATCATGATGATTACCAAAGACTTTGTATCGTTAATAATTGTTGACGAATGACTCGTGGCTGACAAAATGAAAGTGTGGGCGCGACGCGATTGAGTCAAGGAGCTCTGTGCTGTGATTGGGCTGCCGACGTACCTGTTTGTGGAAACGCTAGCGTACACTGTTAGGTAAGTCGTCGTAAGAATGTTAGATCTTAAAAACGTGTGTGTGAGTGCTACCAACAGCTGACTCGCAAGGTTGCCATGATGGCTCGCATAAAAACAAAAATGTACGACGCTTTTAGTCAAAGACTACGGATAAAAACTAACAGTGTACGGAGCGTGAGTATTCGGATTGTTGTTTTGAATCGTTATTTTATAATTACTATTTGTCGGAGTAAGTCGTTCAACGAAGTTGTTTGTTACAATGTAAAATTGTACTTGTAAATACGCACATTGTACAATTGGAACCTGAAGGCAATAAAATGTACATATGATTCGAACTATGCGTTCTCTGCTTTACACTCTGATCTTCTGAGACCGAGAATTCGACGACCATCGAAGAAATCACAAAATAGGGGTGAAATCGGGCGAGACAATACTCGCAAAAGAGAAAACAAAATAGTAGTAATCAACGGGTGGGGGTGGGGAATCAGTCACTGTTCTCGAATCTGTCTTTCTTGCTTTCCCTCTCGTCCACTTTCTCACTCTCACTCTTTCCCTCGCCGCAAGAGTCGCCCGGGCGAACGCGCGAATGTATTCTCTGCCAGCGCTGCTGCCGATCGGTTCCGTTCTCCGTTGTTTTCTTCATCTATCGCTGTCGGTCGGCCGCTGCTCTCGGGGCACTAAAAGCCAAACGGCACGGCGTTTGAGATTGAAGAGAGGTTGGGGAAGAGGGGGGGGGGGGCGTGAGGAACGGGGCCGGGATGCCTCGCCTCGGCCTCGGCCCGATAGCGCCGCTGCCTCCTGGCGATAAATGAGCGCGAAGAGGCGGTGGCAGAGGCCTGGCAGAAAGGCAGGCAGAGGCCGGGCAGAAAGGCAGGCAGAGGCCGGGCAGAAGGCAGGCAGAGGACAGAGACCTGCCACATAAGACAGGCAGAGGCCGCACAGAGGCCAGTTAGAGGCCAAGCAGAGGCCAGACAGAAGGACAGCAGGACCGCCTACGTCTATCAAGTCCGCGGACCGCGCGGGCAGAGACCCGCGCGGGAGGACTCTTACTGGGATCAGGAAGTTGGGGTTTCTTTGGCAATAAAAATTGGGTTATAAGTAGTCAAGTAAAAGTAATCCAAGTATCAAAACTTCATTTATTTTTTATTTTTTTAAATTGTGGATAGAAATAGACGAAAGTGCGACGCACACCTCTCTTTTCTGGGTTGCAATGTTTTGAAGGGCCCACGCATAAGGAAGAAATGCTCTGATAAACGGGTCTGGGTCGGCCCAGTCAGCACGTCTGCAGTCCGGACACGTTCAGCTACCAGCAGCGGAGACACAAAGTGGCTGGAAAGTAAAGTCGACGTGGCCGACTTTCCCCAGGTGGTGTACTTTATAGCGACTTTATACTCCATATTAGGAATCGATGCAAAGTGCTTTACGAGGCACGCGGGCGGTGCACCCGCCGTGCGCGTGACGTATCGCTGGGAGGCTGCGCTACCACGCCCCGCCACACCCCGCCACGCCCCGCCCCGTTCTACAGCTCCTCTCCACCCCGCCAGGCATTTGGGCGTCCTCCGTCCTCGCCTCCGCTACTTCCGCGGCTCGTTCCGTTTTATCCGCTTTCGTAAAGTAAATTTATGCCGCTAGGTGTCGCTGGGAAGTCGCCGACCGTGTTTGCCGACAGGCACGATCGTCAGCAAAAGCAAGACCAGTTTTAAAACAAACTGAAACAAAAAATCTCTTTTACCGTAAACGGCAGCGACACGCTTACACTGGAGACTAAAGTCTGTTTCTCTCCCTGACACTCTTCTTAACCCATTGAAATTTTAGTGACCCCGGGCATACAGTTATTGACTGCAAACAACGCACGGTAAAAATAGTTTCTTGTATTTCAAGACGTGCTCTTGGATGCCATTGGCCATTATCCATAAGATCCAAAACCGGATCTTAAAATACAAGAAACTTTTTTCACCGTGCGGGACTTTTGAGCAGGTTTTGTCTTAAGCACTGTTAAAGTCTTACGAAGAAAAATGCCAAATCCTTTGTAATACGAAGGATTTGGACGCTTCGTAGGGATCAAATCCTTCGTAGGTACGAAGCATTTGGCATTTTGCTTCGTAAGACTTTAACTGTGAGGGCTGAAAGTGAGATGAGGAACCGCAATAGTTGGCTTCACCAGATGGTTCCTCTTTAAACTTGTGACTCCTCGCGTGTTGTAGCAGTTTGGTTCCAGAGGCGCCGATGCAATGTGTGCCAAAACTGCCACCCCCTCCACGGGCAACTTTTGCGAGCGCGGGAGGGGGGAAGAATCGGATATCGCACGTTTACGCTCACTGGGGCTGTTTGCTTTTTTTAAGCCGAGACCGACCCGACCCCGACCGGGCGAGCCACTGGGAGGAAAATAAAGTCATTGGCTTCGGACAGAAGAGAAGGGGGAAGGGCAGCAGTGGGGGAGCAGCAGAGGGGCCGCGGCAGGGGTCGGGGCAGTTGTGCGGATACGGCCAGAGAGTGAGGAAGGTCCGAGGGTTTTAGGGTGGACCCCCGCAGCTCCAATCTGATGCCTTCGACGCCCCCTACCCCCCTCTCCTTCCCGTCTCTTTCTCCCTCACACGTACGGCCACGGCACACGACTGCTCTCTCTTTCTCTATCCCCTCTCACTCGTATACCCTTTTCTCCCCTTCATTTTTCTCTCTCGACGGTTATCCCTGCTGCTGCTGCAATCGTCCAGCTCATAAAATCGGCGTGGCGCACACAGTAGGAAGCTACACCCCCAACCCCGACCCCC